AACTAATTAATAACCAACGAATCTAACTTTTACCAAAACCCATTTTTTATACCTATTAGTCTATTATCCAATGCAATCCAATATATATATAATTTTTTTTTTTTTTGTTTAGTCCATTATTGAATCTAATTAAAAAATAATCAAATTACCATATTACCTTGCTAAGTGGTAGTTTTTTATGAATAATCATTTTTCACCACTATATAAATTCGAATGGACATGTTTACATTTGAACAACGTTAACCTTTAACGATATATATTACTCTCTCTCCTCACGCTTGGTTTTTAGGTGTAACCACTTAGGTTCACTATAACCTAACTATGGGCCCAATATCATAATTTGATATGTTTTGTCATAACTCTTTATGATCGAAACTCTCACTAATCATGATAAGCATTTAGCAATGCTCTATAACCCCTAAGCAATAATGAAGTTAAACTCTAATGAACCTTTTCTCTGATCATCAGTATCATGTAGTAAAATTTCTCTATCATCTAATCCCGATTAAGAATGGGTTCATATTATGTCAAATCCTTAACTTATTCTTTAATTGAATTATCAATCAGTACACTATAACGTGTCAACATGAAGCTACTTTTCATTTGACATTTATTATACTCTGGCCAGAGATTTCATTTTTTCAATATTTATTGACATTCAACTGGGAACTCGAGATTAAACTATTTCAAGTCAACGGATCCCAACTTGACTATCACTTGTCATCGCACATGAATAACATATGACCAAACCAGCTTTCTGCACGAGATATGTCTAGTTTCGTGGTTCTACATCATATGAACTATATGCATTCTATGTTAAATTTAACCATGATGTCTTAGGTCTAAAATTAGTGGTACACTAGTACGATTCTATGATGTATTATTGACCATATTCCGAATGTCTATGTAATTCATCGTAATTGATCATATTCAATAAACAATTCATTAACCGTTTATCCATACTAATGCCTTTGTGATATGACTTTCATCATCAATCACACTAATACCATCACATGATAGTCAATGGAGGCATTTAGTATGATTACTATGCAATGTTATTGTCCAATTAACATTACTTACGTAAGGAATGATTCGATGATTTGATATTTTAAAAATCCGTATCATCTGGACATTTTACATACAATACATATAATATAAACAAAGTAATAAACAAACATATGAAATGAGAACGCTTTCTTTTATTAATAAAATATTCACAAGATATAATGTTATGGAACCGATAACACAATTGATTTATAGGACATACAATAACAGAGGATGTGGAGGTGAGAGTTTTTGTAGGGCCTTTAGGGGGTATTTGTCTAAGCTTATGAAAATTAGCTTATAAGCAACAAGTGCTTATAAGCTAATTTTAGCTTATAAGCATTTGAAATTTTAAGCAATTACGTGTTTGGTTAAAGTACTTATAAGTGACTGATAAGTAGTTGACGTGTTTGGTAAAATGTGGCTTATAAGTACATTTTATTATAAAATAACTAAAAAATGTACTACATTAAGCAAGGGTATATTATGAAATTTTAAAATTAAACAAGGATAATGTGGTAATATACTTGGTCAAACTAGCTTATAAGCAGAGTGCTTATAAGTAAAAAAAAAAAAAAAAAAAAAAAAACCTCCCCCAACTTATTTTTTTTGGCTTATAAGCTCAAAAAAGTTATAAACAAACAGGTCAGTTAAATTTTAGAGCTTATAAACTAGCTTGACCAACTTATAAGCTTAGATAAACACCCAATTAGTTATGAAGCGGTATGAGTTTTGTGTCGTAGTGTTGGGGTGGTTTCGGGTGTGGTTGTCGTGAACTATTGGGTTGAAGAAAGTGATGCGGTGGGCTTTTTTTTTTAATTTAATTAATTTGAAATTTTTTTAAATATTCCAGTTTTTGTTGGGTTGTTTTAGACTTTTCAGTATTTTTCTTGGTTACTCAAAAGATTCTTCAAACTCTGCTAACAAATAATGACCTAACTGTTACTTTCGGATTCCAGTGAACCAAACGTAAGTAGACCAAACCCGAGGGACCAAAAGTATTTACCTCATTATAATACATCATTTAAAGATAAAAATAATACAAATTGGAAAGTGTAATATATCCTAGGTAAAAAAAATGTAGAATGTTAGCATCAGATTTAATTCTATAAAGAGAAATGATGCATTGTACAGAGACGAAAGAGTGAAACGGTGAGAATCTAGAAAAGATTTGTATGTGAAAACAAATCAATTACTTGAAAAGTCAGGTGTTTATTAACATAAAAATAGAAATGGGGTTTTTATTAACCCCCATAATTAAATCAAATAACAAAATTTTTGTTGATATTTCCGAAATAACATAAATTCTCTAAATGTTAATGAACCNAAAAAAAAAAAAAAATAAGTTAGGGGGGAGGTATTTTTTTTTTTTTTCTTATAAGCACTCTGCTTATAAGCTAATTTGACCAAGTATATTACTATATTATCATTGTTTAATTTTAAAATTCTATAGTATACCCTTATTTAATGTGGTACATTTTTTAGTCATTTTATAATAAAATGTACTTATAAGTCATATTTTACTAAACACATCAATTACTTATCAGTCACTTATAAGTACTTTAACCAAACACGTAATTGCTTAAAATTTTAAATGCTTATAAGCTAAAATTAGCTTATAAGCAATTGTTGCTTATAAGCTAATTTTCATAAGCTCAAACAAACACCCCCTTTGTCTGCTAAATTGCAATGGTATTGGCGAAGCAAGGTTCTGAAACCTGACCTGGGATGTCACTCAGCCAAGGGTCGGGTGCCGATTTGCCCGGTCCGATCAGTTAAACTGATGGTTTAGAAAGTTTGAAATCTTGCAAACACACCCTTGAAAATTAAGCAATCCCGGCCAGTTTGAAATCTATCAAATACACCTCTATGATTTGACCCTAAATTGATTTTTTTGGCCAAATTTTGGTTGATTCTGGTGGCCAAAATTCAATCTGACACCACCACCTAAACCACCAAAATTCAATATGACACCACCACCTAAACCATCATCCTCTACTCTACAAAACCTCTAAATTCAAAACTTGGTAGCCCCCCGTTCGCCGTTCGTGACTTGCGAACAACGCTACGATTGAGTTGATTTTTTTGGCCAAATTTCGATTGATTCTAGCATCCAAAATTCAATTTGACAACACCACCTGAATTACTGGCCTCCACTCTATGAGACCCATCTAACCCCGGTACTTGGTAGCCTCACATTTGTCGGCAGTGACTTGCGTATTGGCTTGATTTTTTCGGCCAAATTCTTGCTAATTTTGACGTCCCAAATTCAATTCGACACTATCCCTTGAACCACCAGCTTCAACTTTACAAAAGCCCTCTAACTCGACACTTGAAAGCTCCTCGTTTGCTAGCAATCAGATTACGGATTTGGTGAATAGTTAAAAATGATAACTTGGACCGGAGAGGTCACCAGTCAATGGCCTGATCCGGTTTTCAAAACCTTGTGGTGAAGAACATCAACATCTCTCTCTTCATTTAAATATTTTATCTTTTTGTTTTACCATTTCTCATTGTAAAAGAAAAACAAATCAAAAACCTCTCTTTATCAACTCATCAACTACTAAACAAAGAAATTCTTTACTCTCCAAATGCCAAAACAATTTGCACACAAATTAAACACAACACAAATCCAATCTCCCTTCTCTCAAACTTCAAAACCACCAAACATACACGATAAACACAATCAAAGCAGCCTCTCTTTGCCTGACATAACAACCACGCCTTCTTCTTTAGATAATCTTAAATATATTCAGTGTAGATTCCCTTATAATTAAGTTGGGACATTGTAATATTTTATGGCTTCAAGCCAAAACTTTCAGATTTGCTAGCGACAAGCGGATTCAACACAATTTAGCTTCGATTGAAGAAATGAGTAAAGAACTGAAGATGCCGAAGACCGAAGTGAAGACGAAATGAAATGCAAACGACAAACCTCGATGAACGACGACTGCAGGGAGGCCGACGGCAGACGGATTCGACACATCGGTGGTCGATCAAAGAAATGGGTGAAGAACAGACTGGTGGAAGTAGATGTCTACTGAATTAGAAATGAAATTGAAAAAGGGTTTCCAATTTACAAAATGCATTTAACCCGGTTTTGTGCCAAAAGCGGTCGGACGGACGGTTAGCTACAGTAACACAAAGTGAATTGCATATACCGGTTTTTATCCCTTTGAAACCTGGCCCAAGCTTCAGTTCTCGGTTAAACCGGTCCAACCAGTCCATCCAAGCCGGGTTCGAAAACATCAGGGGTATATCACTGTTTTAAAATCCAGACTGGACCGTCCAACCGGTTGGATCGGGAACCGGTCACGTGTCCAGTCGAGTCAAAATCAAACCCGTTCTTATGCATTAAACCGCTTTAACTCGGNAAAAAGATTAAGCTATGTATATATATAATTTTGTAAATTGAAATGTGTAATAATCTAATATTGTGTATGAGAAATTATAGGCAAAGAAAGTGAAACAACAACTGCATGGCTTGATAAATTGATAGTAAAAAAAAGTAAAAATTGATCTAACATGACCTCCCAAATTTGAGTCCTCACGATTATTAATAGGAATGACCACTGAAACTTGTACCTGACTAATAATTCTTGGATTTCAGAAGATTAATTGAGATACATATAAATTAACCTGACAGCCCCAATCAACAAAAAGAAATTATAAGCAAAGAAATAAAGATGTGACAAAATTATAATATTTCTTATAGTTTAAAAAAAAGATCGTGGTTGTTTATGAAAGAGGATTGCAATTCCCATCTTTATCTTAAACCCAACATTAGCATTTATGCTCTAGTCATTGAGTGAACATGGCAAAATTTGAGGCTGGAGCTTGGTTCATAGCTAGAAGCCTAGAATAACAAGCAGAGCCAGAAATCCTCACCCATAAGCAGAACATAAATATAGAAGAGCTGCAGCTGCATAGAATATGCAGCAACGATAGTAGTATAATTAGCGCTAAAATATTTTCCTTTTATGAATATTATAATGAAGAACATCACTGTGGTTTCGATGCTTTCAGTTACGTAAGGACTAATAAGTTTTCTATTGAGGTAGACAACAATTTTAGAGACCCTTTAATGGCGCTTTGTAAAGCTGGTGTAAGGTACAATATTAATGTGTCGGCGACCAATGAACTCATCTAATCCCTTCTAAAATATGCTTGATGATGACGATGAAGAATCTGAATCAGCATAGGTTGCTAATTTCTTTAAAAACGAGATGACTTCATCTGAGGATTGAAGTCGAAAGCGGGCATTTGTGCGAGTCCGTCCAACAGCACAAGAAAAGTAGTTCTCTTTATTCAGATCAAGCACATTCCATGACATCTTTTCGGGTGTTGGTCGCCGTGCACCAGCACAGTTTTGAGTGGGGATCTTTCTCTCAGGATTTGACGTAGGTCGTTGTGTTTTACCTTGAGATAACTTTGACCCACTTCTGCTTGCTGGAAGCTTCAATGATGGTCGTCTCTCCCCAGGTAACTTCAGTCCATCGGTTGGTTTAGTTCTTGAAATGCTTGTGGGTTCTGAAGGGAGTTCTGGCTCGAAAAAAGTGTACACGTCTTCATCCTAAAGAAATAAAAAATGCATTTTTTAAGTACAGGACTAAGGTAGAACTAATTTGATGTACACTGATCACCGAACATTTTCAACTAATCGAAGTGCAACATCAAAATCAAACATTGATCTTTCTGATGTTTATCAATCCGATTGCCTGAAATTATCAAGATTGTCTCTTACTTATCAATAGAATTATTGTAATTTTTTCGGCTATACCAAAAATAGTTCGTAGTATTCTATTAAAAGTTGTTCACAAGAAACATATTATGGCGGGATAAAGCAGAATGTACGTATGGGTGTGTGTGTTGGAAGGGACACAAACTGAAAAAATTGGAGTAAGAACCTGATTATATTAAAAGTGGAGAAAAAAGTACCTTCCCCAGAAAATGTCCAATACAAAGAACATAGTCAATTGGTGTTGTCATAGATTTACTGTGGACAATCTCCCCCAAAATACGATCAATTGCCGCACCCTGAATGAATATAAAACTTTCAAATAGTATAACCAGAACATATGGTTGAAACATCAAAAAATTCTAATGATATAAAATTTTTCAAGCATAGCAAGTGCAATCACCTTCGTAACACCAACTGCTCGCACCTCGACTGATCGACTTACTTGGACAACATCAACCGATGCATTTGAAATTGGGCCTGTCCAGAGATGCTGCAACATATCTCTTGCCTGAATTCTTCCAAATTCAACATCTACAACCACAATAATATGAGAAGGTCAAATGAAGAGAGAAAAATATGAAAGGCAGAACTAACTTAAAAACTATGTCCAATACCTGCGTACTTGTAATTCCATACAAGTGATGTTTCACGCTGTTCAAAATGTGACCGCGGTGTTCGTTCAGTGAAATACTCAAAAACATGCTGAAAATATGTCAGCAGCACCATAAGCTTAGAGGCCAGAAGAGACAATTAATAAGAAATATAACTGTATTATAGGCACCTTAACACTGTCAACCCATTCCATATTTAAATGCTCCGGCATTGTTGTCATCCATTCTCCAATGGTACGGCGTAAAAACATCCCGTTTTCTGCTGCCAACCACATGTCATACCCCCCAAAGTTCTGTGAAATAACTCAATTAGTTAAAAAATGGATTATAGAAAGGCCAGAAAAGAAGTAAAGAATGGGGCTGGATCAAGTACATAATCCAAGACATTTCTGTCACTCCCACTAAGGACAACAATTGTTGTCTTTGGATCATTGCACAGTGCAGTTAGGGGTTCATGTAACTCCGGGTGCAGCTTCAGTTCCATTTCTCTAATTTGATCACCTCTTCTACCAGGAGTGTCCACCGGTTCAGTTAATGTTGCATTGAAACCCTGAGTTTTGGAACACCATCAATGTGCCAAGAAAAAAAAAATGGAGGTTCAAAAGGAAATAAAAAGATTAAAATAAAACGCTAAATCATGAATCATAAGCACCATATAACATTAAGCTGACCTCTAATGTGTCTTATGCTAAACCATAAAGCTCAAGAGTCTTTATAGTTCTTAAGACTGCATAGTCAAAATGCTCATAATGCAAATCAAAGTATCAGAACCTCTAACAGCAAGATGATCTACAACCTGTCAAAACCGAACCATAAATCTCAAGAATGTCCATTACTTTCTGATTATTAACTTCAGAAACTGGATAAATATTTCCAGTAATATGCTCATAATCCTCTTTGGATATCATGAAGCAAACATGATTCCAAGTTAGACATGTTAGAATTCAAGGGACAGGACCCTGGTAGAATGAATCTCCTTAAAGAAGTTCTCTGTGGAATAACTAACAAAGATGGAAACCATGCAAATCTCATAATTTTCATATCTATATGGATGTAACCAGGAAGCAGAGGGAAATCGATGTAGGCTGCGATAGAACAAAACGGATGGAAGAAATTGAAATAAAATCAAGATGTTAAAAGACAAAGTTCCACCAAGAAAGTAGTGACAGGCTCGAATATATACACAGAAAACATGCTCTTCAAATAGCATGGGATCAGACATTAATTTTCAGTCTTTTGAGTAATGTTGAAGTAGACTCACAATCTTGAGTCAGTGTAATGTCAATATTTATGAATGACTGACTTAATGGTTCAAATTTAAAAATACAAATCAATTTACAAGTTTAAGCTGGTAACCTATTGGCATGACCTGTTTACTCCCTTTTAAACTTTTTTTCTTTTGCAAAACAAACACTGAACCACTAAGAAGTTATTTAGTCCTCATGGGAAAAGAAATACTTTGGTTAGATAAGAAACAATAAATGAAAATTATTGGTTGAGAAATTGAACAAGTTCTCATGGCCACTAATTTTAAGCTGCAGAGAGATTGTTTTCTAGGAAAAGTTTTCAGAAGAAAAATTCATCTACATCTAATCAGGCGTTGTCATAATTCAACTTAAAAATAGAACTACTCAACCTTCATCGAGATTGTTAAAAATATCATGAAATGTCCTAGGTATAGATGTATCAAAATATCCGTGTACTCCAAATTTTGACCAAACTCTCTATCTCACTTTTCTCTTGACATAAAGTGTCCAACACAATTCACTATCATAAAGATTTCAATGCGTTGATTCATTAATGACCTATGATGATGTTTCAACAAACTTCACATACTAAACGTTGATGCAGTTGAATACCATAAACTTCAATTGAGAACTGGTAGTAAAAGATGTGTATTTATGTTATTACTCAATTGAAGAACATTCCAATTGTTCTATGGTATTAAGATCAAATATAGGATACCAGTATGAGCAAACGATTGTAAGACCGCAAATAACGTTCAATTGCATCTGCTTCTCGAAGGTTAGGAGGGACTTGTTTTATCCTCAGCTCTGCCTCAACAACTGTAACGTTCAGTTCACTGCAAAGTAATTATACAAAATTCAAATCTTTAAGAATGCTGACAAACTCCCCATGAACATTCGGATGGTTGGCATGAAAACATAGATGCTTAATCTGAAACACAGATAAATAAATACAAAACCAAAAAGTCATTTTCATTGAATTCTCATACATATAGTACACCAATAAACTTTATCCACGAATACAACCCAAAGCATTCATAAATGTACCTTGACATATCAGAATAGAATTGAGTTTCCGATTTTGTTGCTTTCTTTTTGGATAAAACCAAAATGTGATATTCTCTATAAAGTAATATATTCCATCAATGCAAGGGACAACTACCAAAGAGATATGTCAAACTTATTTTTTTCTCTTGCACAAGCTCAAAAAGAAAAAATTCAGAACCACACGTCATATAAGTGTTCATTGTTGATGACATTTCTGAAATAAAAATAGTTAGCATAATCAAGGAAAAGAGTTTCCCTTGCAAATGGCCACAAATTTTTTATAGGTATCCAAAGTTTCAAGGCTAGTGTCTCCATGTAAGGCTTCAATGGAGCATATTCCTATGTCCAAATTTTAACCCATGTACAAAACATTCAGAAGTACACCAAAGGCGTGAATTGCAGAAGGTACAAGTACATCTAGGTATGCTTTATTAAAACTCAGGCCACTGTCCTTTTCCAAAGATCTCCAGAGTATCAAACCTGGTAAACATTTAGAGTATGGAGTTCTCAACTTTTAACCAGGATTTTAGCGCCAATAAAAAACCAACTTGGGCACTGTTCAACACGGAAACATTTAATAAATTACAAATTGATAACTAATATCCAATATAATGTTAAAGGTTCCTTAAAGAGACATAGCATTCTTTTCTTGAGGGGTCTGGGGATTACAACATAGTGATGTAAAGGACTTCATTAAGATTCTAGCACCAATTAGGAAGACTGCATATTTCACTTGGACATCTCAAAATCATCAAAATTCAGTTAAATCATAATACGTTAGTTAGTTATGGAACTATGTTTATAAAGTTCACAATCAAATGGACAACAAATATTTGCTTTATTAAGATCATGAAGTTTCTCTCCAATGGATAATATCTATTATTGAGGCATATGATTGGATGGGACGGGATCCAGTTAATCAGAAGCATTATAATCACACTCTCCTTCCCCCAATTAATTTTAGGTCTACCACTATCAAAAAACTTGTCTACTAGTCAACAAAGCCTATGATATAATCTAGTTGAAAGATTAAATTAAATATTGATCTCCAAAATCATATGCTCAGGAAAGTAGACAGTACAAATACACAGTCCACTTGACAGAGATGCTAACAATTAATGCATACTCTTAGGTGGGTACAAGGATCACAGATGCCAATAAAAATGGCTCAGAGATCGAACACATTGTATTTTTTTATGAGTTATTAAGTTGTTCCTATTTTTTATTAAAAGGATGCCTTCTGCCCATAAGAATTATTTTTCTACTTTATTTTGTATACAACAAATTAAATTTTAGACTTAAATATCATTTGTGCCTTTACCTGATAGCTAAACTTTTAGATCAAGTGATGTCTTGATATGCATCATCTAAGAAAAGCATGACACAACTACCAATAAATGCTGAAGACCAAAAGATGTAAGTATTGTCAGTTTCACACTGCAAAGCAGATCATGACACTATTTTAATCATACCTTACAAAGGTTTCAGCCCATTCCTGAGCAGTGTGAGTTGTCACATGTTTAAAATTATGTCGATGTCGCTTCTCTCTCTCTTCAGGTGACATGTTCAGAGCTCGAGCAATTGAATTAGCCACTTCCGTGATGTTCCAAGGGTTCACCAAGATCGCTCCAGCTCCCAGAGATTGTGCAGCACCTGCAAACTACAAAGTATATCAAGAGTATCAAAATTTTTGCTGAAATATTTTCAACTTCTATGGAATATGGCAGTGTTATTGCGAAGTTGAATATTGTTTCGGTTAGAGAAGGATACATGTGACATATAGATATTAATCAACAGTCTACTGTAATATAGTAGAATTCAAAAAATATGTTAAGAATCTACTTTCAACTCTGACATTGCATCTTCAAGGACCAACTAAAATCAGCATAAAACTTAGAAGTGATGAACAATTACTTCACTGAGAATGAGAACTCCTTTCTTAGAGTCTTGGCATGCCACAAACTCATAGCTGACAAGATTCATTCCATCCCTTAAAGATGTGACAAGGGCTACATCTGAGGAAAAACATAAAAAAGAAGGGAAATAAATTTCATTATTCCTAAGTTCCAAAGACATCTTTTTTATCACAAACAATTGAATAAGCAACAACATTACACTGATAGTTCATCAGTTTTAGTACAAGATCTGACTTCAATTAATAATTATACAAATCTGAAAGCTTAGCTCCCGAAATTAATAGAGAATTGATTTCAATTTTTTTCCAAAAGGATCACAAATCAAATTATTACTGATCAGTGAACATAAATATCTTCAATGACCAACATTGATTTATTATTCAAAAATTTCTGTTGGTCCATGACTTCAGTAAACCATTCCTATATGAAAAATAAATAAAATAATGTAATGAAAAAAATACAAGGATCAGCATACAGTGACATAAGGAGGTTTACTTTTTTATTTACAGTGCATTTGGTTCAGAGAACGTTGTATTATTGAGAACGTTATATTAATGGAAAGACAAATTACCTTAAAGATCACTAAGAATGTTTAAAAAAATGTGTTTGATTATATTGAAATAAATTGGTGAGTATGTTATATTGATACATTTGGTTGGGAGGAATAAATTGGTGAGTATATTATATAGATTACAAAATTGCACTCATTTTTAAATATTAATATATTATTATTTTTTGAATTATTTCTTTCAACCCCCCTACATTTGAGATTTTGCTAGAACACCCCAACCACATAAAAGTTTAATTTCTAACAAAATCAACCCCACCCACCCCAAACCATTGCCAACCGCTAACCGCCAGTGGCCGGAGCAGTGCACAACCGGCCAGATCTGGCCGATCGGAAAAGGCCAGATTTCCAACCAGATCTGGCCGATTGGAAACGGCCAGATTTCCAACCAGATGCAACCGGTCATACGCCATTCCTGCGAAGTCAACCGGTGGTGGTCTTGGATGGCCCGCAATTTGTTTTAAATATAAGGGCATTACTGTCCAAAAACTTAATTAATTAGGAGTAAAATTATAATGCCCGATTCATGTAAATTAATTTCAAAATAAGGGCATTATTATCCTAAAATTTTATTAATAAGGGGTAAAATTGTAAGAAAAATTAGATTACTAAGTAATATCAAAATATCTAAAAAAATGGTGGTAATCAGATTACCACCTATATAACCAACAGTGGTTAATATTGGTATTTAAGAATTACCGAAATCTTATATTACTTGACAATTAAACATAATGATGTAAGTAATATAAGATGACATTACTGGAGTAATGTCAAATATCCTCCAACCAAACGCACCCTTAAGGTAAAATTTGATGACGAAGAAGGTATAATTGTCATAGTTCAATAATGTTTGGTAACTTCAGGAGATCATACACTCAGCCTGTCAACAACAAACCAATTTGAACTAGAAAAATAGAAAACAAAAATGAGAAACAAAAAAAGAAAAAAAAAAAACAAAAATGAGAAACAAAAAAAGAAAAAAAAAAATACTTCAAGAGCACATGTTGGTGTTTCTGTAGTAGAAAAGTAAGGGTCTATTTGTAACTTGCAACAACTATTATTTACTCTGCAAAAAGTCTTTGCATGCATCAATGATATAAAAAAGGTGTTCTTTCAACATAACATAGACAATCAACAGACAACAAATACTTACATAATATTATATTTTAATACTATTAAATAAATAATAAATAAAAGGTCTAGAAGAACTCATGTTGAAAAGTGATCACATGCAACGAAAATTATGTAAGTTAAGAAATTACAGAAAGTAAAAGATACAGTGCAACAAATAAATACCAGTAACAGCATATATAGCACACAATTGAAGAAAGTCCAGCGAACGATCCTGTAAAAAAGAGGGGAATTTTATTAAAAACTCTTGCTGATATAAATTACCATTCTAGCTCAATCATGATAACAAATATATACCATGCTATGCATCAGAATACAAGATTTAGCGCAAACACTGGACATAATTGACAATTTTCCAAATAGTTTATGTATGAATAGAGTGTAAAACCATCAAAAGGAATTTTTTCAGTAATAAGTTTCAGTCTCCATGTCTTCTCACAAGGGTGATCTATTGAAACCCACAGACTATATAGTCATTAATGATGCAATCCCAACTCTTTTGAAGACAATATCTAGAAGATGATTCTGAAAGCCAGCATTGCAAATGCTAATGTCAACAAGACATCATAAAAGCAAATAAATAATCCGTGAAAGGAAATTCAGTTAATCTTCCTTTCTTTCTGTATCTACAAATTCATTATCCATCTCACCATTGCTTGTTTGCTGCTTTAATATTAGATTATTAGGACAGTAAAATTTTGTTGCCCATTCTTCCCAATAACATAATGTTTTGTTAGGTGCAAGTTGCTAATATGAATAATATGGACAGCCTGCACAGTAAAAGAAAGAACATCTATCCAGAAAAGCTTGTGCAGTGTATTCTAAATTATTGTGGCATTGTAGACCTTATCCACAGCATTGTGCAGCCTATTCAAGCTATGAGGATATTGAATACTCATACTATATCTTCTATGACAAGCTCTAACATTTTGTTCAACTTTCCTTCAGTCGAGACATCAAAAATACTCCTATCCCATCCCTCATGTTCAATTACACTATGAGTAATACTACACATACAACATTTTTATACAACATTTCTCATACAACATTATGTGGCAAAAGATGATTGGATGAAAGTTTATTTTTAATTTAAAATCAACCAATCATCTTTAATCACATCATATTGTATGAGAAATGTTGTATCAAAATGTTGCATGTGTAGTATTATGCATTACACTATACCTAAAACCTTAAGTTTAAGCTAATAATTAAAGGTTCAGCAATATTAAATAAACTGTAACTCGTTGAACCTGTTATGTAGGCCACCTTGAGGCTTTTCTACATTGCCAACAAATCTACACTGTATCTAATACAGAATAAAATAACATTGAAATTGATCTGAACATAAGTCTAAGTAACACTGCTTCGCTCAGTAACGCACTGAGCTAAAGAAGAAGAAAATACAGTAAGCATCTCATGAATTAATAAAGCTAGGAAGTCAAGACAAACCAGATGGTGTATTGGAACAGTAGTCAGTGTTCCAAAACGGCCATTAATGCGTCCAACAATTTCGTGAACCTGGCTTGTAAGTTTTTGATCTGTAAATATATACAAGCCCAATCAATAACGTCATGTTAAAAATCAAATAATTGAGTAATAAAAGGAACAATACTAACAAATCAAGTTTATTGAAGCACAAAAAGAGACGGCCTGGTTTAAAACGTGACCCTAACTTTACAAACAAGTAATAAATTATACTAAGATCAAAGCTTTGTTTGAAGAAAGCAGAAATTGGAGCATGTTCTGAACCAATGATCACCAANTATCAAAATGTTGCATGTGTAGTATTATGCATTACACTATACCCAAAACCTTAAGTTTAAGCTAATAATTAAAGGTTCAGCAATATTAAATAAACTGTAACTCGTTGAACCTGTTATGTAGGCCACCTTGAGGCTTTTCTACATTGCCAACAAATCTACACTGTATCTAATACAGAATAAAATAACATTGAAATTGATCTGAACATAAGTCTAAGTAACACTGCTTCGCTCAGTAACGCACTGAGCTAAAGAAGAAGAAAATACAGTAAGCATCTCATGAATTAATAAAGCTAGGAAGTCAAGACAAACCAGATGGTGTATTGGAACAGTAGTCAGTGTTCCAAAACGGCCATTAATGCGTCCAACAATTTCGTGAACCTGGCTTGTAAGTTTTTGATCTGTAAATATATACAAGCCCAATCAATAACATCATGTTAAAAATCAAATAATTGAGTAATAAAAGGAACAATACTAACAAATCAAGTTTATTGAAGCACAAAAAGAGACAGCATGGTTTAAAACGTGACCCTAACTTTACAAACAAGTAATAAAATATACTAAGATCAAAGCTTTGTTTGAAGAAAGCAGAAATTGGAGCATGTTCTGAACCAATGATCACAAACTGAAAAAAATAGTGATACAGCAGCAGTGGGTTTCTAAAAACTGGAATAGACTAGATGGTGAATCACTCACAACCCAAATATCTATGGGTTGCATCCATCTATATGATATAATCCACCTAGATGAAGCACTAATAACTCATAAAGTAAGTCAGTATATCCAGACACAATTCATGATTTTGATTGGTCTTGATCAACTAAAAATAGTCACTCAAGCAAAGACCATAAGCTCAGAAAAGCTAAAACAATCTTTTAATAATATGCAATTTTAGACACAACAGTCTGTAAGCAGAACAATATATGAAAGAAGCAGCAACAAATTATAGAGGGGAAATACATTCAGGAACATCTGTTCTTGTTGGCACTGCAATTTGCAGCAAAACAACTTTCTCACGCCATTCAGGGTTTTCCTCAAGGAACTTTTCAAAAGCCAATATCTTCTGTGGAATTCCTTTAATCATATCAAGACGATCAACACCTAACATTACCTGTCAAGTCAGATCAGTTATCGTAAGTTTACAGTACTCTGAACACAAAACTACTACAATATTAAACGAGACACCATCTTACCAAGGGTGCATAACTTCTTTCTAGACTTTATATAATTTTAAAATAAAAATGTAATGAGGAAAGCATTTTAATCCTCTACCAATAAACAACCATATATATAAATATAATCTTGAACAAAGCCAACAAGAAATGAACAAGTGCCATGCTAAGATACATGACATCGTAGTGCACTAACTCAATGAGAAAAAAGGATGAATATTAGGGTTAGTCATTTCTGTTTTATATGCAATCCATTTGACTGAAACTACTCTTCGATGTCACCCAAATCAACTTCTAAAAACATTGACAAGCAAGTAGCAGCATCATAAAGTAAAGGCAACACTTACCTTTCGGCCAGCAAATGTCTCTTTTAAATCTTTGATGTGTTCCTGAACTTGAGGATTCTCAAGTGCTCGCATGAACCGATCTGAGTCTATCCCAATAGGAAACTAAATATTCAAACAAATTAAAGAATCAAAATATAATTTTAAAAGAATTTATGACCTTTTCATTACAGAACATGTTCAAGAACTAATATGCCAAAGCAACAACCAAAGTAACAACTCTTCAAGAATCAAACAAAGCCAAACAATCCAAGAAATTATCATCTCAAAATATACCGCAGCAACACGAGTCAGTTTCCCTTGGTCCTCAACTCCTTCAGGTGTCCCCTCAAGTCCAAGAATACGAGTACAAGCACTGACAAAATGCCTTGCATAATCATACGTGTGAAAACTGCAAAATAAAAATTAAACTCACTTTACATGCTTAACATATAAAAAGAAAATTCTATCAAACCAATTACCACAATTTGAATATTATAATTATGGATATGACAAAAGTGAATATACAAACTGTAATATTGAAATAAGTTGACATAGCATGAACTTACATGATGCCCAGACAATCAATCTAGAAACTGAAATTCCACCATAAGGTTTTTTTCCTTCTCTTTATTTTAAAGTAAATCATAAGAGTCTCATAGGAGATATCATTCTGAAACCAACTTGATCTTTGACTTAATCACAAAACAGGCTAAATTAAGGAAAATGTTAAACTAATAATTACCTAAGATAAAGAGATCTTTAAGAAATGCCAAACTTAGCAATAGGCCTTAGATGGATAAAGCAAAGGGATTAATATGAATATTAAGTTGTCCAGAGATTCATGATAGAAGAACAGCATAAATTACGGGAAACCCACAGCAACTTTTCCTTACATCCACTTAATTTTCTCACATTGTAAGACCTAAAATACAGGGCTTAGGTCAATGCAAAAAAAGTTGGTGTAAACAGAAATATGCCTATTGTCATTTAGGTTATTAACTATAACATTCATCAGATCAAAGAATAACCTANTCAACTTAATAAACTCCCTAGGTTTGCTAACTTAACTAAACACTCTAATATATAATTTTTTATAAAATGACAAAAACACCCCCACCCACCTATAGTGCCAGATTCTGGCCATCACCACCGAAATCTGATCGGAATCTGGCGTTATGACGCAGATCGGTTGGATCTGGTCGTCGATGACAGCAAAAGGCCAGATCTGACTGTCAGCGATGGCCAAAGATATGGCCGTCGTTGACGGTGGTTGCCAGAATCTAGCAACTATGGGTGGATGGGGTATTTTTGTTAATTTATAAATTTTTTTGCTAGGGCTATTTTTGTCAATTAACAAACTTAGGGGGGTTTAAATGGTTTTTTAATTTAGGATAGGATTTTGAAAATAAGGAAACAAACGTGCATTTGTAATTGGAATAGGGATAGAATATGGATAAATAATAAACCAAACGGACCCAAAATAATGCCAGAAATCCTCTCACCTCTTCACTCCACTGACGTGGTAAGACGTTTCTCCTCCTCACTCGACTAATTTGGTGAGACCATCCAATAAAATAAAAACAAATATTATTAATTTTGAAAACTATTCCTTATGATGGGGGTTACTCATGAAGGTTTGTAGGTAATTATTTTTAAATCATACTAATGAGTAAATGAAAGAAAAAATTAGATAATAAATATATGACAACACAATGTCATTATACTATTAGAAGGCCTCGCCACATAAACAAATGAGATGGTGAGACTATCTCAAATATGCATTTCTCTTAATCACTTTACCATGAGAGTGTAGAAAGTATTATACTGTAGAAAGTAAGGATAAACGCACCTATAAATTTCTGACATTAAATATAAAATTCATAAAGGGATATTCGATGTTAATGACAAGCAGCTTAATCACTTTACCTTGAGACTCTGTCACAGAACCAGGAGCTACTGTCGAAATGAAAGATTCATTAAAAAACGAATACAATTCAAACCGGGAAATACAGCTCGGAGTCAACACTCTTCCTCCTCTCTTCCCCCCACAACAGAATCGTAAATCAGCATTGGCCGCTTGAAGACATGTAAAACAATCTCTACTAGACAAACCCTGTGTGCACTGCACAAGCCCATACAACGTTTCATTAACTCTAAAATTCTCCTTCTTAGCTCCCGCGAACTTATCCGGTGAATCAGCAGCTTTACTCGCGGCTGCGTTCATCAAACTCAACACCGAATCATCAAACTTGTCGGGCTCCGTAACATTTTCGGTGTTTGGCACCCCAACTGAGGGATTTTGTGACAAGACAGAGAAGAGAGACTGGTTTGAGTATTGCAAATGGCACTCATCGAACCATGTTATAGCTAGTTTTCCAGTTGGACAAACTAGAGTTACGTATCTGGCTGCATAAGTAACACAGTCTTGGCAAGTGGTGGAGTTGAGATCACGACGGCAAAGAAAGAGACCGTAGACCTCGTCAGGAGCTTGGCCTGCGACGGCGTTGCGGAAAATGACTTGGGAAAGTCCATTGGAGGTGTAGATAGTACTGGGGTTGGAGGAAAGATAGGATAAGAGAAGCTTGAGGTTGGAGTGATAAGTGCTGTTAATGGTGAAATGGGAAGAAGAGGAGGATGGACAATACTCGGCGATTAATACTGGGGTGATAAATGCTTTTGTGAAAGTGATGGTCAGAAAGCTTGAGAGATAGAGAAAAACCACAAGGATCATGGAGAATAAATTTACAGGAAAAAGCTAGCTCCAATATTTCTTAGATTAAGTTTGTTTTCAGAAATGATTAGAGACATGAAGATATGCATCTCAAAATTTGCCTTGGCAGAGTAGACGTACGAGTCAACTGGCGGCAAGCTGGTCAAGCAAATCAGGTGTTTCCGAAGGCAAAATGTGTAAAAGTCTAAATTAATTTGTGTGGAAACAAGAATTAAAATTAAAGAGATCTGATTTTAAAATTACAGACCTCAATTCTTGTATATAAGATCAAGATCGAGTTTACTTTTTATANGTGAAATTTCTTGCATCTCTAATTTGAAAACGAACAAGCATGGAAAGTAGATAAATCAAACAACACACAAACAAATGGCAAGAGGTCAGATAGAATGATAAAAAAGAGGAAGGCATCCACAAAATTGCATGAGGCAACAGAAAGTCTTCTACCATAGAGTCCTGGTTACTTAAGCCATTATCAAAATCCAACATTCAGAAACTCGGGTGTGTAGAAGTATAAGTATTTCTACTATATTAAGTAAAAAAAAGTTGAGAAAATACAGAAGACAAGGTGAAAAAGGAAAAAACTAGAGAATGAGATCCACAGAAGTTTCTGGGATGATAACAGGGCTCTCTGTTTTATCTTTGTTCATGATTCGCTTCGATGAAAATACATACGCATTGCATGAAAGAAAATAATAGTAGCTCATTGAGTTCAACCAAATATACATTATATATAAAATTCACACCCAGAAGCTATAAATACAGCATAACTGCGAAAGTATCAAAAGCCCACCTCCAGACAAATTCAAGAAATAGCACCAAACCGTTGAAGCAAAACCAAGATTCTACAAGAACGGTTCTTCTCGCTGCGTTTTGATCTAATATGTTGCCTAATGGGTCTTTAATATTAAGCCACCAAGTTAGAGAAAGAAGGGAAGAGAAAAAGATATAGGGAACCCTCCAGATTCCGCGTGGCTGAAGGTTATCACCGTGACAGGAAAAGAGAGGGACAAACGAGACCCTCGTGTAAGCCTTAGAGGGTACAAAAAGCCTTACAGCCATGCAAATAAACCAAAGATTGTGCTGAAAAGATAACGGAAATCACTAGTATTTTACCCGAAAAGAAAAAGAAAAGTAGTCTTAATCCCTGGGACTTGGAAGAATGATACCTAGGATATCTCCACGCAGTACCGCCAATGCAGTAACAAAAATACTAAATCATATTTTTAGTAACAGGTATTTGCGGATTTCTAAAAAGAAGTTTTGATGACTCAGCAACTGAGGAGACTTGTACATATTTTTAGCATGCCCATTCTTGGTTAGTATTAGGTGGGGCTTATTTACTCTTGGGGCATTTTATGCCGACGAAACTGTTATCTAAGTTATACTGATAAATTGATCAATGATTACTTTTGACTTTCTAAATATGATAATTACTAAATTAGTGTTATACACAATTTCCACAGTTTCAAAAGAAAAAAAAATTAACTAACAAACACAATTTTAGATTTAAAATAAAATTAACACTACATAAATAAAGTTTGAATATAGATTCTCCTATATAAAACAAATACAACAATATATATAAAACTTAAAACATACGTTATAAATAACACAACAATACAAAAATAATGTTACCTCGCTTTACCTACCAATATTATATATTAAACACTACTCAACAAATTAAAACTTAAAATATATGCTAAATTAAACAATATAATGTTAAGCATAACTAATGTTATGTAAGTATAATTTCTGTCATTCCAAGTGTATAGATCTATAAAACAATATGATGATTAGTGAGAGTTGCGAAATGACGCTTGATAAAAGATGAAGGATATATATTTTGCTTTCACCTTTTTTAGGTAACAAGTCAGTATGCTACTATATCAAATCACTTTCTAATTTCAAATCCAAGAGTCTAAAACTTTTTTCAAAATAAGCATTTTACTATAAAAATTGCCTCACTGAAGTTTCAATCAAAAAAGAGAAGAAAAAAAATCACAACTGGCCTAAAAAAGTATTACCATCTTGGGTAATTTCCAAATATAATCAAGGTTCTCGTTTAAAACCAGTTACACAGCGGTACAATTACAATTTACAATAGTTTTTCTTTTACGTTTACAATCTTTAGCCATGGGAACTTAGAATAATTTTTCTTCCTTTTCAGAGCATGCTAATCAGTTAAATGCTATTTAGGAATGAATACAGTACAGTGAGACTTGGAGAAGAGAAAAATATATTACCAAAGTCTATTATTAATCAATTTTCCTCTTTTAGGCAATCTGTAGTAAGCTGTCAACTGTAAAAAGTGGCAATTTTTTGTTTTGCACTCAATTTCCTTTCTCTTTATCTCAACTGAATGAGTGAACTAAAATAAATTTAGTACTAGCGTGACACGACTGGCCAACTTCAGCAAAACCCCACTGACCAAGTCCCATATTGATACAACATCTCCTTCAAGATGTGCCTTCCATAAAATTTATCTTCTTACTCCAAATGACATCACAATCTATTGATAGTAATAATTAAATGTTTCCTATTACCGCTAAAATATTTTTAAATATTGGATTCTTTTTACAAAATTTTATCTAATTTTGACTATAATTAAATTATTTAAGACTTATTATAGATTAATCAAAATGTAATTTATATAAAAATTCCTTGATGATTCAATCATCTTAACGGTAAAATCTTTCATAACTTTAGAATCATCTCAAAATGCTTTCCGAAATTCTTCAAAATTTTCCAAACCAACCATGTCTGTGATCACAAGTAATCTCTCATTTCACATCTAGTACTAAAATATCTGTAGTTTTCTCTACACTGTTTCATATCTGACAATCCTAGGGCTTCATTAAAACATTTGAAATAACCTCAAGATTTTGTAATACGGATCTAACATATTTTCTGATCCCTAATCCTCTTCAATGAATTCTAAAATTTTCTCTCATCTATGTAAAATAGTCATTACAACATAACTGTTTGTGAACACCAACTCAGTTTAGCTGCTGCATCAAAGAATGTGATTTTAGAATGAATTCTCAATCCTGTCTTAAAAAATTGAAAAACAGAGACAAATAGGACTTCCTGCTAAAGTAAAAATGTAGAATGTAATGAACCACATTGATGGCAAACAACTTCGTTATGCATAATGCATGAAAGCAACATCAGTTATTAATAATGTTGTTGCAACGGCCTGCCATCTAACCCAGTATCTATAAAGTGGGATCTAAGTGCGCCATATGGTTGTACCTAACTGCCCATTGAGAATGCGGAACCAAAGGCGAAAATGGCTCTGGGAAGAGAAACACATGGGGCAAACGTGTCAAAAAGTGGAAAATCTGAACTTTCTCAGTGGAGGCAGCCATTGCCCCATAGACATTGATGGTGAAAGCTAATTCAAATAAAGCTCCAAAGAGACAGACCAAAGTGCTTTCGAAAAGCTAGTCTTTCTCACCCAATCCCATAAAAGAAAGCAGATAATATCATCACCAACTATGATTCCTAAGAAACTATTGAATAATACCCCTATTTTCGATTTCTCATATATTTTATCACCTTAGTTTGATATATGCATACTATAAAACATGAATTTCAAGACAGTGCTATGTATGATCCAGTCAATGTAGAGAAAAACAATTTAACTTCAACAAAGCTATGTCAAAGACTCAAAATAAGAATAATACACACCATGCTTCCCCCAGAAAAGAATACTCCACCTTTGTTGACTTGGGAAGCCTGATGGAGGAGGAAAGCTTTTGGTCTCAACAATGACGTCAATGAACGGCAGAAATATCTCTTTAAATATCTTTTTGAATGATAAAAGAGTTATGGTCCCTTCCTATCCTTATAGAATGCAAAATATAGGGGCGACGTGACAGAGAACCGTAACACGTGATTAAATGGATGAATAGGCCAAAGCTAGCACAGTGGACAGTACCAAATATTGACAGAACAGACTCGCATGCAACCTTGTTGTTTTCCCTGAGATACGAAGGCAAGTGGAATAAGTATTATTGCCGTGTTCAGGCAAAGATATTGGGTTCCAGTATTCGAGAGAGCCCGTGAAGGCTACAGAGTGGCCAGGGAATTTGCAGTAAGCCAAACATTTGTCACGCATGCAAAAAGGGTTGGTACCCACAATTTTGTGGGTCCACTATGAAAGATAATATGACTCTTCCGCAAAATCACTTGCTGTGAACAAATCTTAACGACCCAATCAGGCATGTCTTCTAGGCAGAAAATATTGTCTTTTACCTTACAAAGCCTAGGTTGTGGAATCTTATGAGTATCAGACATTTCAAATTTGAAGTTTTAAGACTTTTTTTTAAGCTTCTTGCAGTGTAAGTTACATGCAAATGCAAATAACTTCCTGTGGTTTAAAAACTTATATAAAACCTTTTACTAAGGGTGTTTTGTCAAATTGCAAAAGGGATTTCTAATAAATTTTAACTGAGCCAAGTCACTAATTTCATAAATTTCTGATTGTCCAGACCTTACCTACTTATAATATTTCTCTCTTCTTATACTTAATTTATGAAAAAAAAAAAAAAAAAAAAACTGCCTCTATTAAAGGATAGAAAAAGTTTCTGAAATTAATGTCCCCAAATAATAATGATTACGATTTCTTTTGTTTGGATTAAATATTTATTTATGATAATCCCAAAACAAAATGTTTTGACATATATAGCATCCTGGGAATTGGAGTCCTTATAGCTGTTTGTTCAAAAGTAGGAACGCAAGCGTAAACTTCTTGGTTACACGCTCAAAAACAAGTCAATAAGAAAAGAAAAAAAACATAATTAACCATGTAAAAAAAATCTTAAAGCCGCCTAACGTTACCTGTTCTTTCTCTTGTTTCTTTCCCAGATTCATCCATAATATGCATGGACCACTTAATTCATGGGGTCCTAAAAGTTTATATAAAGAAATTCTAAGACACTAGAATTCTTTGAATACAACAAACGGTGACAGAATAATTCAAGGAAAAAAATTCTTAAAATTGAAAGTCAACTCAGCTTAACAAAGCCTTTGATTTGCTGACGGTTACTACTTTAAGATACATGACAGACAACGTTGAAGCACTAAAT